CTCTTTATAAAATTCTGCTGGATATCCATCTGGGCCTGGAGATTTCTTATTAGGCATGTTTTTAATGGCTTCACGGAGCTCATATGATGTTAATGGTGAGTCTAGTTCTGAAGATTGACTACTGTCTAGTTTTGGAAGTATTACTCTCTCCAAGAATTGATTAATATCTTCATCTGTTGGATTTATTTGTGGAGTGTATAGAGTTTTATAGAAATCTCCAAAAACACTATTTACTTTTTCCTCGTCATAAGTTATATTACCATTTGTGTCTTTAATACCATATATAGACGTTTTTTCTTTATTTAATTTGAGTTGATTAGCTAAAAAGCTCCCTGATTTATTACTGTGTTCAAAATGTTCTAAGCGAAGTCTTTGTACCAAGAATTTGTTTTTTTTGTCAATACATTCATTTAGTTTTAATTTTATCTTGCGTAGTTTTTTCTGTGTTTCCTCTCCTTGTAAACTTTCTAATAATTTGATAGATTTCTCTAATTCCTCAATACGTTTATTTTCTTTTTTCTTTTTGTTTGTTGCGTAGGATATTATTTTCCCTCTCATAACTGTTTTTCAAGCCTCCCAGAGTGTACATGCTGATGCTCCTGGCAAGTCATTAAACTCTAAATACAATGTCCATTCATTTTTAAAGTATTGTATAAATTCTTCGTCCATAAGCAGTGAGGTATTTAATCTCTAGTTTATACTTTTGGCGATTTCTTTCTTATTATCTAAATTTAAAGTAACTGGTGCATGATCGCTGACAACAATAGGGTGTATCTTAGTGTCTGAAATGTTGGTCAGCAATGAGTTGCTGATTATAAAATAATCCAGACGAGAGTAAGAGTGATGCACATGTGAAAAGAAAGAATACTCTTTACTATTAGGGTGAAGAGACCGCCATGCATCGCAGAGTCCATAATCACTGTAGTGAGATAGGTCGGTTAGCTTTTTTTTAGCTTCGGAGCTCCACTACACGTTATAATATCTGGACTAGTTCAAGTACCTGATATTATACTTAATTTAAACGGGTTCTCTCTTTTTCGAGCTACTTGACAGATATGTGACAGAGATACTGTGGGGGAGATGGTTTAATCAGTGACGTGAGACGTTAATTTTCTTTGACCCATCAAAATGAATGTGGTCATTTATTAACAGAATCAAAATTTAACATCAAACATTGTACACGTGATTATTCTGATTGTACGCAATAACACAGCTTAATTAACTAGCTTTACAATGAGAACCATACGGCCATGGTATCTCACTTGCAACTAATTACAACAGACATTTATGAAAATATCTGGATGATTTACTGGCAGATAGAAGAGTTTTAAAGATGGGAAATGAGGGAGTTTAAATGGAGAGAAAAGATGTGTGAGGGAAAATGTGTCGACGAAGAACGGCACCCTCCATTCGAACCCAGCTCTACCTCGGTACACTTCGGTAGTGGAAACTCGTTACCTTGTAGAAGATGTCTCCACTGGTACGGAGTTCCATCTAACGCTACCTTTCCAGCGTCTCCGTAGGATAGCAGAGAACCGTCCGGAGTAGTGACGGTACTTCGTTCAACAGCACGCTCACCTCACGGGTGAGCTGTGAGTCAGTCAGAGGTTCCACTCAGATGTGGAAGATTCCATAATCCCCACGAGACTCGGAAGAACTTCGGATCAGGTCTGGAACTTCTTGTTCTCTCCAGCAACTTTTCTGTTTGATTCTGCTCTCCGAACTGAACTGCTTGGAATTAGGAAGTGTCGACATTTAAAGAGTTCTGTTTCCGGTTCATTTGGGAAGTCCTGATTGGCTGAAAGAGCCAATCAGGGGTGTGGTTTTAGTGACGTAAGAGGTCACTAGAAGTCAGAAAAACAGTGAGATGTTTTGGAACAGACAGAAAAATGTTTCTGAAACAGACAGAGAAATGTTTAGGCGAGATGACAGAAAGCAGGTGCCAGCTCCTCCGTTTCTGTCTGAGAGGATTTAAAAACATGACAGTTCGTTCCAATAAACTTGTTTGCGACTGTCTCCGACCTTTGACCGACATCACAACTTGCTCATTTCAGACAGAAGATCAAGAAAATGAATAATTACTCTGTAACAGACATTAACTAGATTTCTACTTTGAATGAGGATTAAAAATCATTAATAATGTTTCACAGTTGATTTAAAATGAGTAGTTCACTTCAACATTTAAAAATGATTTGAACTAAACACACTTTGATTATCAAGATATTGTAAAATAGTAATGATAATAAAAAAGAGAGTGTTCTTTCAATTGATTAGTGCAGGACAGACTTAGAAAGTCTCTGGATGAACTTAATTTGTGTTTCTGGACTCAAATCAATGAAATAACAGTTCTTGTCCCAGGAAGGCCCTCAGGGCCAGATTTTGACCTGAGGCTTAGTTCACTACATCACTCATGTACTGTTTAACTACATTTATGGATTGCCAACTGCGTTGAGCTCCTACTGCATTCAGCCTGTCTATTTTGTTATCTAGACCAAAGTTAAGATCACCTCCCAGTACCAGCGAGCAATCCATGTGATTTGATAGAGTAGAGAAGAGATCATGAAAAAAGCGGCATCGTCCACATTTGGCCCATATAAGCTAACAATACAATATTTTTGACTGAGTATGGATAATTTTAATATTATATATCTACCTTGCGGGTCCATAACTGTGTCTAATATTGTGAAGTTCACATTTTTATGTATTAATATTGCTACTCCTCTCTGTCTTGAGTTATAGCAGGCTGAGAATACATCAGGAAACTCAGGAGATTTTAGCTCATCCACAGTTGACGGTAATTTATGAATTTCTTGAAGTAATACAACATCTGCCTTTAATACAAAGTTTGTTTTCTGCCTTTAATCTTTTAATCTGGCTAAAGATTCTATATTTTTTATGTTGGCTACCAGCTCTATTAATATTCCATGTGACAAACCTTAAGATACCCATATTTGTGCTTGTGAAAATATAATTAAACCACACCCATTATCAAAAACAGTAAAACACCCAGACAATAACATAATCCTTAATGATTGATTATTTATGATTTATAGATAAACTAAGTGCTGTTTTTGAAGGTAAATCATGGATGTATTCCTTTATGAGGTATTTGTATGTATGTATATGGATATATATAAGCCTTTGTGCCTGTGTGCTAATAATTGTTGAGTCAGAAAAATAGAGACAAAAAAAGAAAGTGAAATGATATCCTGATGCATGCTCAAAGTGAAATGATAATAAACACATAAAGATAAAAGAAGAAAAAATAAAAAAAGAAGCCCCTTACCACATTGAGAGACCTCCTCAGTCTGAGGTGCTGTATTCAGCTCAGTCGCAGGGGCCGTTTACACGGCGTGTATTTTGAGTGCATCCACTTCTTTCTCTCTGCGGTTCTGCTGATCGTTTACACGACACCAGTGCCCCCCCCCCCCCCTCTTTGAATCCGGAGGTTTCTGAACCCACCTTCCAGAGTGGAGGTTTTTCACTGACCCCCCGCTGATAATGTAAACACTGAGGCTTTGTGTTAAACCACATGCGCACACGCACGCGTGGACAGACGCTGTATTTCTATCAACATGGCGGCGGATACACCGCTTTCAGAACCTCGACTGATGGAATATATTTTTAATCTCGTAGTTAATCTACGTCAGATTCAGGTGCTGTGACCGACATCTGTGTTGGAAGAGACACAGTCTGATCTAATGTCGCTGTTTATAGAACGAGGCACGCGCACGTCGCGCTGCACTATAACATCTAAATGTGCTAAATAACAAGAGTTTAATAATAATAAACAGTATTTATGTTAGTGTGAGAGATATAATGAAGCTCTGAGCTAAATGAAGCTATAAGCTGAAGTCTGAATGAAGCTGTGACTCATGAGTCATTCCATATGTTGAGGGAGTATCAGAGAAACTGAGACGTTTATTTTCTAAACATAACGTCCCAGTGGCTTTTAAACCCCAAAATACATTAAAGACTGGTTTATCCCAAAGATCCAGTCCCCCGGCACAAACAGAGTAATGTTGTGTATGTTGTTCAGTGTCAGGAGGGTGATCAGTCTTACATCGGGGAAACTAAACAGTCACTGGCCAAAAGGATGGACCAGCACAGAAGATCAACATCATCAGGCCAGGACTCTGAGGTCTACACTCATCTCCAGGCCAGCGGTCACTCTTTCAGGGATGAAGATGTTCACATCCTGGACAGAGAGGAACGATGGTTTGAGAGAGGAGTAAAGGAGGCCATCTTTGTGAAAAGAAACCGTCCATCATTAAACAGGGGTGGAGCCTCCAGGTTCAACTGTCCCCCTCTTACAATGCTGTGATTGCTAGTATCACTCAGCCCTCTGTGAATAGTAAACAGCCATCAGGTGCTAATGATCCATTGTTAGGCTGATGGTCCTTCTTGAGCATGTGATCAGCTGGTTCTGGTTGTCAGCAGCAAACTGGCTGATCCACTCTGAGAAGGTGCTATTTAAGAGACTGAGCTGAATACAGCACCTCAGACTGAGGAAGTCTCTCGGATGAAAGATGAAACGTATTTAAATTTTTTTGTTTTGTTTTTTGTTTTTTTGAATGTCCAGAGGACCAGATTGAACTTTTTTGGATACAGAGGGAGTTATTTCTCTTTTTTCTGGGCTTGTCGAAGGCAGTGCAGTGACACTCCTTATTTTTGTAGAGTGCCACGTTTCATTGTATATGTAAATTTGCAGCTTGTATTTTTGTATCTTGCCGAAAAGTGTTCAAATTTTTAATTTCAGGGAAGATTTAAGAAAAAAACAACACTGTAAGACTGGAAGTTACAGTGATGACTGACCTGCTAAAATTGTCATTCCAGAACAAAAGCTGATTCATTTCTATTGTATTTTTAGTTAAAGGACAAAGTCCCTTCAGAGGGAACAAAGAGCTGTATGTACCGTAGGCCCAGAGGCACAGGTTGCAGTCTGTGGACCTCCACCAGCATACACGGTGTGTAATTAACACTTAGAGTTGGTCTCTTACTTGTAAGGATCATTAGGGTCCTTGGCGTTGCAGGCCTCAGCATGTCCGTTACACACACACCGTCCTCCAATACTGATGTCTTTAATGCTGTAGTAATACTGCAAGAAATCAACACAACCTGACTTAATTTTATTTGTACATTTATAATTATAATAATAATAATAAATTTTACTTCAGGGCGCCTTTCAAAAACCCAAGGTCACCTTACAAAAACAATTAAAATCAGCAGTTAATAAAAACAGAATCAACAAATAATTAAAATAAGTCACAATAAAACAACACTTTAAACAAAGTTGAAGAGAATATGCCTGTTTGAACAGGTGTGTTTTCAGTTGTAATTTAAAAAAGGGAAGAGAGTCTGTGTTCCTGATAACAGGAGGGAGGGAGTTCCAGAGCTGAGGAGCACAGCGACTGAAGGCTCTGTTCCCCCGTGGTGACGAGACGGGCACAAGGAACAATAAAATGAGTGGCAGATGAGGATCTGAGGGAACGGGAAGCAGTGGAGATGTGAAGCAGATCACACAGGTACCATACCATACCATTTTATTTATAGAGCACTTAAAACAGCTACACGGCCAACCAAAGTGCTGTACAGACAGAACAACAGACAACACATGAAGCAATATACAAAATGAAGTAGATCAAAAATATAGACATAAAAACAATGCAGATAATAATTATGACGACCAACCAGTGTGGAGCGTACAGGTTCAAAACAGATCATCTGGTGTTGAAAGCTACTGAATAGTAGTGAGTTTTTAAATGGGATTTGAAAACGGAGAAGGAGGGGGCCAGTCTGACAAGCAGAGGTAACTCGTTCCAGAGTCTTGGTCCTGCTACAGAGAAGGTCCTGTCACCTCTGCGCTTAAGACGAGTTCCTGGAACTGTGACGAGCAACTGGTCCGCTGACCTCAGGGAACGTGGGGCAAGGTTATGGATGCACTTGAACGTGAGAGTTAAAATTTTAAAATTTATTCTAGCTTCAATGGGCAACCGGGGTGATGTGTTCTCTGAATGGGGTACAAGTTTACACACATAAACAAATATACAAATATATATACAAATACATATACAAATACATACATACATACATACATATACATACATATATATATACATACATA